GGGCCCAGCTGGGTGGGTTTGGGGGGTCCCCAAGGGGAGTGGGACACAAGGGGGATATAAAGGAAGGAGGACACGAGGGAAAAGGGGTGTCCCTATGGGGGAGGGAGTTCTCGCAGAAAAGGGGGATCCCAACTGGGGGGGCTCCAAAGACAGGAGATTCCCAAGGAGAAGGGGAGTCCCCAAGAAAAGGAGACTTGGGAGATTCCCAAGGAGAAGGGGAGACCCAAGAAAAATGGGTCACCAAGTTGGGATAATCTCTGTAGCAAGGAGCTCCCCAGGGAGGGAGCCTGGCATGGATAAGGGCCCCTAAGGAGAACGAGATCTCCAAGGGGAGGAGGAGATACCCCAAGTGCAGGGAGGGGTTTAGAGGAGAAGGAGATCTCAAGGAAAGAGATCTCACAGGAGGCCACCCAAGAGTGGGGTCCACAGGGGAAGAGGGGACCCCAAGAGAGAGACTAAAGGCAGGAGGAGACCAGGGGAAAAAGGAGGTCCCCAGGGTAGGGTGAGTCTCCAGAGGGATAGGGGAGGAAGTCTGCATGGAAAATGCTCCAAAGGCAGAGTGATCCTAGGAAGAAGGGAGGTCCCCCAGAAAAGGGGATCCCCAACAGGAGGAGATTCCCAGGGAGAAGGGGAGTCCCCAAGAGGGGCGTCCACACAGGGGAAGAGGAGATCCTAAGGGGAGACTCCAAAAGTAGAGGCAGCCCAGGGAGAAGGAGGGTCCCTATGGAGGGAGGGAGCTCCCACGGAAAGGAAGGTCCCCAAGAAGAGGGAATCTCCAAAGGCAGGAGGCTCCCAGGGAAAAGGGAGGTCCCCAAGGAAGGAGGGAACCTCCATGGAGAGGAGGGTTCCCAAGGAGAAGAGGGTCCCCAAGTGAGGGTCTCCAGCAGAAGGAAGTCCCCAAGAAAAATGGGTCACCAAGTTGGGATAATCTCTATAGCAAGGAGCTCCCCAGGGAGGGAGCCTGGCATAGATAATGGCCCCTAAGGAGAAGGAGATCTCCAAGGGGAGGAGGAGGTACCCCAAGTGCAGGGAAGGGTTTAGAGGAGGAGATCTCAAGGAAAGAGATCTCACAGGCCTGAGGGTCCCTGAGCCCCCCCAGAACATGAGTCAGCACCCCAGACAAGAGGGAATGGCCTCAAGTTGCCCCAGGGGAGATTTAATTTGGATATTAGGGAAAATTTCTCCATGGAAAGGATTGTCAGGCATTGGCACAACTGCCCAGGACAGTGGTGGAATCACCGTCCCTGGGGGGATTTAAAAGCCACATGGATGTGGTACTTGGGGACATGGTTAGTGGTGGCCTTGATGGTCTCAGAGTGCTTTTCCAACCTAAACAATTCCATGATTCTATGGAAGAGAAGGCCCTGTTGGAGTGAGGCCACTCATCATCACCTTCTCTCCCTGCAGGGGGATTACAGCTGCACCTTCACATACTCAGCTCAGGGAGGGACCAACGAGGTGAGTTGGGTAAACCCTCAGACATTTCCTTTGTGCTCAGCCTCTGCAGCTGCCCAGAGTGAGAGGCTGTTCAGAATGACTTTGTTTGGGATGAGCTGTGGTGTGTGAGGCCTTGGCAAGGGCCTGGAGGGACAGGACACAGGGAATGGCTTTCCACTGCCAGAGGGCAGGGACAGATGGGATATTGGGAATTAATTCCTCCCTGGGAGGGGGCTGAGGGGCTGGAATGGATTTCCCAGAGCAGCTGTGGCTGCTCCATCCCTGGGAGTGCTCCCGGTCAGGTTGGACAGGGCTTGGAGCAACTTGGGCTAGTGGAAAGTGTCCTTGCCCATGGTAGAGGGTGGGATGAGATGAGCTTTAAGCTCCTTCCAACCCAAACTATTCTGTGACTTAACAAACCTCCTTGCTGGATGTCTCTGGAGAACAGGAAGTGACATTTCCATACCCCAACTAGTAGGTTTGACCTCACAGGAGTAACTCCTGTGTTCTTTAGGAGGCTGGAAAGCTTTTTTTGCAGCTTGTGTTGCTGCTCCAGCATGTAGATACACAGTTTGTACTTTCTTATCTCCAAGTCCTGTTGGAAACAGGTCCTTTTCTTTCAGCCTAAAGGGAAATGAGACTTAGAACTCTTCTTTGTATCAGCACTAATGGAATTGTGGAGAGAGCCACCAGGCCCTGAGCTGTGTGTAAAACGAGTGTTGTAGTTGTGTTGGGGTTGTTTTAGAGCTGCTGGAACTGCTCCTGCAGCTGGAGGGGAGGTGAGTGGCCTCAGGGATGAGACAAGGCTCTTCCTCACACTGACTCTTTGGGTTTTTCCCCCTGCAGCAATGGCAGATGAACATTGGAGTCAGTGAAGACAATGGACTCTTCTCCTGCTCCATCTGGAGGTGTGTTCTGTAACCCCAAACTGAGCAAAACCAACAGTGGGGCAGGTGGGATATGAGACAAGGGACCCTGCAGTGGCCTGGGAACAAGCTTCCTAGATGAATTTGCCCCTCTGCAGAACAATACCAGAGGGTTTTCCTATCCTGAAGGATTCTCTGGGTTGGCTCTTCACCCAGGTGTTGGGTCATAAATTCCATGTTCCCTTCTTCTGGTTTATAAATTCCATGTTCCCCTTTTCTGGTTTATATATTCCATGTTCCCCTTTTCCACCCTCTGCACTAGATGGAGCTCCAAGAGAACCAGAGGTGTCTGTGAAAGGAGGGAGGGAGTCAGGAATCCTTCACTCCTCTACACCTCCACCCTCTCTGCTGCTGACAAAGCCTCTGCTTTCTTGTTTCAGGCCCCAAGGGAAGTCTTATCTCTTCTTTACCCAGTTTAAAGCTGAAGTGAAAGGAGCCAAGATAGAGTATGCCATGGCTTATGTAAGTCCCAGCTGATCTCTTGGAAGGAGGAGTGTGGGAGGCTGCTATAAAACATGAATTAGACATGGAAAACATTTATTAGACATCTGTGCAGTAGAATGTTCTCCAGCCCAACCCTAATTAGAGCTCTGGGGCAGGCAGGAGAGGGACTGCAGGTGGGCTCACCTGCACCATTGTGTTTCTGCTCCCTCAATCCCAGCAGTTTGCTGGGAAGAGGCTCCAAAAGACACCACTGCACAGCAGCAGCCTTGGATTGCCTCAACAAATTGCATGTGACAAAGTAAATAAAAGCTCTCCTGGTGTTTTCGTCTGGCTCATTCTTCCATTTCCCAATCTTCAGGGGTGAGGCTTTCAGTCACCCCAAGGACATGAGGCTGTGGTTTAATAGGAAATGGAAAAGCAGCCAGAGATTTTTCCTTCAGATTTGCCATGTGGATTTAATTCTTTCATCGCACATAAATCACAAATTCGGTTCTTTATCAAAATGTGCTGCTGTTTGTTTGCTTTAACTACTGTAACTTCTTGGATTGCCTCAACCTCTTACACCTTCTTCCTTCCTGTTTCAGTCTCAAGCTGCTGTGGGTTCCCAAAGTGACGTGCCCTTAAAACAGGATGAGTTTGAAATCACTGAAACAACAGGTCTGGGACCCTGAGAGCTGTGTGGGGAAGGGGCTGGGGTGGGATGTGGGGCTGGGGT